TTTGTTCAAAACCTCCACCCTAGTTCTTTCTCTGGAGATCATTCTCACTGGGAACGCATCTAACATGGCACCGTCTGTGCACAAAATCCAATACAGGGCACCCACGCTCATGATGAGCTTGCGAACGCTTGAGCCTCTCTTACTTGGGAGTGCCCTCGAGTGTGTATAGCAGGACTGGTGGAGGTTCACATGGGGGTCAGACCCTGTCAGACGGAGGCCCCTCTTCCTGCAGACCCCGACATCCGTATTCCATTCCTTATCTGTCTCATCTTTCTTCCCAGAGTTGTCTCCTTTTGCCATCTCTCCTTCCTCTCCTGCAAGGCCTCCTCCATGGCCCTCAGCACCCCCACCGTCAGGCAATTCTTCTCCACCAGTGTCAACATCACCATGCGCCTGGGACGCTGTGCAGTGGGGGGCGGTGGGGAGGGGGAGCTACTTGTTTCCACAAACCACTGTCTACATTTATCTCAGCCCCTCCCCCTGGGCCATCTTTGCAATCCTCCCTGGCTCCATGAAAGTATCTTGTTATCTCTTAAATCCACATTTGCTAACTTGGTTCACCCTGGCTGCTCACATCTGAGATTTCTGTCTGAGAGTTCCCCTCAGCGCTGGAAGGTTTTTAGTCTGTCCTGACAAAAGTGCTACCTTGCCAGAATCTAGGTCCTCGGGAGTTTTCCTTTCTCCACTCTGGACCCCCAAACAGAGGTTATAAACTGCATATTGCTGTCCACTGGCTGGTTTAGTGGGTTTCAACCCTTCCTATGTTCTCAGGCTGTTTCCTTCTCAAGGCCATTTTAAGAACTTACAGGATCAGGATTTTGCTTGAAAACTAGAGAAAAGGAAAATGTTCTCCACTCTCATAGCTACTTTCTCAGCACAAGAAATTGAACCAGGCGCAGTCCTCATTATCACAATAATTTAAGTTTTGCACAGATTGCAATCACTTGATAAGTAAACGGTCACTAAGACACAAAGGCTTGAATGAAAAAGGCCAAGGCCGTATTTTCTTGGGGATTTTTTCCTTTATGCATTTATGCAAAGACAATGCTTAGGCCACTTGGTCTGCTCAAGGCTTTGGAAAAAGTGCCCTCGGTGGAAAACTATTGTTCAACACACACACACACACAAACACACCCTTCCCGACATACCTGCTAGTCCAAGACCAGTGGTGTGACTCCCAAAGAAGGACAGGCCCCGAGAGTGGTAGCCACTGCCCTCCTGTACCCAAGAGAGCCAAACAAATGGTCCAAGTAGGGGCTGGATGTGAGGAAAGCCTACCTGCCTGCAAGTCTTCTGGCTCACAGGAAATAAATCCTCTCCACAGAATAAGATTACCGTTTGTGGGTGCTACAAAATGGTGCTGAAGGTAGAGAACTGTTGTCAAATGGGAACTGCATGAGAGGCAGGAAATAGCTATGCAGGTGTGGCTACGCACCACACTTGAGCTCACCTGATGCTCCACAATCATCACTTGCGAAAGGTCGCTGACAGGATGGAGGGGGAACTCAAGGGTAATTCACCTGGGCTAACTCATGCAGGTATTCTGACTGCATTCAGGAAGGATATCCCAACCCACAGTCCCAGGGGCCATCTCAGCAGAACCTGGGCCTTCTTCACTGGCCATTCTAAGGAGCAGTGAGTCCTAGGATGGTCCAATGCAAATCTCATCGGTGTCCTCTCAGCAGGTATTTATTAAGCTGATCTTTTAGGTCCTCACTATGCAAAGTGTCTCCAGTCCGGCAGGATGGGAATCATCTGGGAAGGTGTTACAAATACAGAATCTTAGCTCCTGCCCCAGAACTTCCAATCTGAGTCAGCACTTTAACAAATTCCTCAGGTGAATAGACGTTAAAGGTTGCAAAGCCCTGATGTAAGTAACACAGGAAAGGGTGATCAGCTACTTTCCTGTAAGAAGTGCACATTTGGTTAACTAGTGAGGATTTAGGGCCTCCCTGGTGGCGCAAGGGGTTAAGGTGCAGCACTGTGAAGCTATCTGCAGCCACTGCAGCATGAGCTCAATCCCCGGCCAGGAGCGGCCCCACATGGCATGGCAGACCTCTCCTGTTTTGCCTGCTGCTCCCTTCAGCAGTGTATTTCTGTAAATCTGCCTGTTCTGCCCCCCACGCTGTCTCTGATTAATCCCCTCACCCCTCTGTACCTCTGGCCTCTACCCCAGTTCTTGTATGCGTAAATATATATACTTTAAAAAAAAAAGGGATTTAGCTATGAAACAATGGGACACAGTGCATGTGGACGTTACCAAGCACAATTTGATAGCAAATGTGGATGTAGAACACAAGACCAAGTCCTGCTTCAGCCACTTCCTTTCACTGAGCCACGGAGGGGGCTGAAGGTGGCCTTTATAAAGCTATCAAACCAGGCACCGTTGCAAATTGAGACAAAAAAATGCACATACTGACAACTGCACTTAATCGAGTCTCTAGCCGGGGCTACAGCCAGCTCCCACAAACCCAGGTTCACCAACTCTGGTTTGGAGTAGAAGGAAATAGGTTTGTCTTTTTGCAGAGCTGACCTGTGGAGAGGCCAGGCCCTGCAAGAGGAGGCCTGGAGGAGTGAGAGGAAAGTAAATCAGCTGCGCTCGCCTAGATGACGCCTATTAAGCCCCTGCTATGCTCTGCATGTCCTCGAGTTTTTCTTTCTTTCTTTCATTTAATCCATGCCGTGACCTTATCAGGCAGGGATTCTTGTGTCCCCACTCTACAGATGAGGAAACTGGGGGTTTGGGATGGGGACCCAGGTTAGTCTGTTTTCCAAAGCCCTTGACCTTAAAGGCAGCTGACTTGCTAGGGTAATGGGAGACTCTCTGGTGTTCTTTTCTTCATGCAACTGAAACAATGTGGCTTTGCTTTTGTTGTGAAACCTGGCCGCCTCTCAGTTGCTGACGTTTGCCATGCTTGTCCTGAGCTTCTCCAGAGAAATGCTGTCTTCTGGCAGGAAAAGATAAAAACCGCTGATACAAATGAGTCACCACACTCACTATAATTAACAGTGATGCAAGAGCCAGATGCAAAGCAAGAGGGGCCTCAGGACCTCAGTCTCAGCTGCTCTCCAACACAGAAAAGTGCCTGGCTGGTGGAGCTGTAGCCACTCTGATTATTCCTAAGAAATGAAACCTGGAATACATGCCTGCTCCAGGGAACTGAGAGGGTAGCATCGCAGCAGTCGCCATGGTTATAAATATAAAACTCTACACCAGAACCAGAAGACCAGTTGAGAGCTTATGATCATACACATCTTTGCTTTCACACTCCGTGACCCTGGAAAAGACTGGGTAGTTTTCAACTAGCTGAGCTGATTTATAGCAACTGCAGTCGTAAATTCAGCTGCACGAGGTGTTCATCTTCCACCTTCCTGACCTCAGGGTGCACCTGTGAACTTTTCAAGCAACACCAGTTATCATTAGAATCTTTCCATTCTCTTTTGGTGAGTTGGAATATAAAGAGGTGCAGAGCCGGATTAAGAAAGAGTCTAAAGCACACTTCTACCATGTCATCCACAAAGCCCTCCGAACAGAGCAGAAGACGATCTTGTATGAGACATGAAGGCAGTGCCGGCTGCTTGTCGGCTGGATCATGGCCAGCCCAGGAGGGACACATATAAATAGAGGTGAGAATACGGAAAGCTTTGACCAGCGTGACCATCAATGTCAGTGGCGTCTTCTTACCCACTTAAAACTAGAGGATCAACTAGTCCTTCAGATTTGAACAATACAGCTGACAAAATCTGGCCACTTTCCTTTTGAATAGATTTTAATTGAGAGCAAAGTGAAAAATGCCGGTTACATTTTTAGTGTTTTCATCAATACGTTGTAAGATCAACACCAAAACAGTGATGCATCTAAACATTTATACAGTTCCTAATTTTAGTTGTCAAAGAGCAAATCATTGTCTCATATATATATATATTTACACAGTAATTTCAAGCAACAGTAAATAATAAACTCCCTCCCTAAAAACAAAACAACACACATACACACCCAGCCACCTTTAAACAATGGATTTCCTCACAGTAATCAGTCTCATTTTTTTTTTTTTTTTCACATATATTGTAGACCCAAAGTTACTTAAGTTACTTAAGAACAGTCTGATCAGTGGAAATCCTGGCCCAGCCCCTATTTTTTTTCAGTCACTTTAATTTTTACAACTTGAAGCCACATAACGAGCGTGGTCTGTACACTCAAACACACCCCAGATGAACATGAGTTCTGCTCCCTTTGTGTGAGGGGAGATGGACATCTCTGAAGATGCGTGTGATTACAAATCAGAACAATTAAAAACACACACAAACACAAAACCTCAGACCTGTCTTCAAGCATGGTTTCTTAAGAGCATTGTTCTAAGGTTAGTGTGGCACGAACTGAAGGGGGAGATTCTGAGACTTTGCTGCAGAGGCCCTGGTTAGTTCTGATTCTTTTTTCAGCGGCTGAAACACAAGCGTTTGAAAGGTTGCCTGGTTGGCTACATCCTGCCGCCCAGGTTAGCTGCTGGCCTAACAGCCAGCGTGTCAGACGCGACTCACCCCTGTGCCTTGCTCTCTGATTTATTTCTTGCTGTTGCTGTTAGTAAATGGAGACCATGACAAAGTTTACATTAGCAGACACATACACATGCCTGGCCTATAAATATTCTATGATGGAAAATGGGGCGATGACTCCATGCCTGGTGAGAATGAGCATAAACGGGTAGGGGGAGTCGTGGGGGGGCACATTATCAACAACAGCCCTTCTCACAGTGGAAAATGCAGACTAAATGGCAGCCGATGGGCTTTTAACTAACCGGACACTGTTTGCCATTTCCCTGGGGCCTGTGAGTCAGCTCCTCCGGCAGACCTGGTAGCATCCAGCAGGACAGGCATCTTGTCTTGGAAACTGAGTGAAGGAGATCAACTGCCACATCCTTCTTAGAGAGGTGAGGGAGGAGGAATTTCAGAGTCCGGTCTGGTAGCTTTCACGCTGCAACGGGAGCAGAGCCGCCAGGCCCTCAGAGGGCCAGCTGTAGCTTGGTCATGTTTCTCTGGTGCATATTGTGGTGGCGGACTAATTCGTCTGACCGGGCAAACTTTTTCTGACAGCTGGGCCATCGGCAGCTGAAGGGTTTTTCACCTGTTGACACAATTGCAGGTCAGAGACACCAGAGGCAGAGAGATGGGGGCGCAAGTTTAACTAGCAAAGACCCGAGTTAACTCAACCACAGGCACCCGCTCCAGACCCCTCAGCTTCTTACCCTACGCTATGAAACTAGGTTATTCTCACAGGCAGTTTTGAAAGGCCTCAAAAATTGAAATATTATAAAAATGTAAAATTAATTTTAAGTCCAAAAAAACACAAGGCTATGGAAGAGAAGGAATGGGTCTAGTGGAGGGAAGTGCCTAGCTCGTTCATGTTTTTAGGGGAGGGAAAAATTGTTTCGCTGCTGCTGTTACAGCTCTTGTGAACTGTGTGGGTTTTTCTCTTCGGCCGTCTTAAGTGGAGCTTCACTGGGCTGTGAGGCCTCAGGTCACCACCCCAGTTTCTACTGATGGATGGATCCCCATCCGGGACTGCTGTGACTACAGCTGTCCTAGTTCTGCCTGTGTAGGCTTTTGTGAAGGGCTGTATTTTTTTTTTTTTAAGATTTATTTATTTGTGCATACAGAACTGGGGCACAGGCCAGAGGCTCAGGGGTGGCGAGAGGCTTCACCAGAGACAGAGTGGGGAGCAGAACAGGCAGATTGACGAAGTACACTGCTGAGGGGAGCAGTGGGAGGGTCAGGAGAGGTCTGCCACGCCATGTGGTCACCTCCGGGCAGGCGGGAATCGAACTCATGCGGAAGTGGCTTTAGCTTCTTAGTGCTGTGCTTTAACCTGCTGGGCCACCCGGGTGGGCACCGAAGGGCTGTATTTTTAAATAAATTACTGGTACCCGTTTACATGGTACTAGCTTCTTTTACCTTCAACTGTTTATCAAAATATAATCCCTGTTATGCAGAAGATTCTAGTTGAGCTCTTTAATAAGCCTGCCAAAAGATGGAGCAGCTCTCCAAAGTTCTTTTCAAGCCTCATTCTGTATAGGGAAGATAATTAACATATAATAAACCTCTAATCTCTGTCAAGCTTTATCTAGATTACTCCTGGGAAATGCTGACAACAGCCTTGTAAAGGAGGCAGCATTGCGTCTACTCTACACTAGGGTGAGCAGAGACCCAGACAGGGCTCCAGTCCAGGTCTAATCCCAAAGCCTGCACTTAGCACCATACTGGGCCCTGCCATAATGGAAGTACAGCTATGGCTTGATTCTAAGTTAAAAAAAAAAAGGACCACCTGGGGGAGATGCTGCTCTCCCTCCCACTCCCCGTCTTCTCTGAAAATAACTGGTTCAGACAAGCAATGGGAAATGTCCCCAAGGAGGTCAGATGTCGGGGTCAAGCAAATATAATGTAGCATTAGACTGGCTACTGGGGACATGGGGTATTTCATGAACATGCAGCTATGCACATTGTGGGGGTGCGGTAACTTTTCCCCACCAAATGCTGAGTTCAGTACTAGGCATATGGCACCTGAGCAGGAGGAGTAAGAGGTCCATCCTGCCAACTCTGGGCCATAAGTGCCCAGGCGGTACGGCCGTCTGGGCTGAGATGGGGCTGCATGGGCTCATGAACTCATGATTTCCTCCACCCCCCACTGCTGCTCCTCTGCTCTTCCTGACCTAACCTGCTCCCCCAGCACCTCCTCCAGCCATGATGTCCAAGGTCATTTCCTAGTGGATAAACCCCAGCCCTTTCTCTTGTCAAGCTTCATTCTTCTCAGTCTCTCCATGGTTTTCAACTTCTCTGACTTGGCTCTGTTCTTGATTCTCTTTCCTCCCTGGGCTGCAGGATGAAGCCATGCTTTTTCCCAACACAGAAGGCAGTTGGTTTATGGAGAGCAGGGCGCAGACAGAACTGGGTTTGCTACTTACTAGCTTTGGGACTTCAGATCATTTTTTCATCACTATGTGCCTCGGTCTCCTCATCTGTAAAATGGGGATAAAACAAGCCTATCCTACTCTTCTCACAAGGATGTATTAAAGATAAACATGAGATCACCTAAACCCTGGTCCTTTCAACATTAGAAACAGTGCGGCAGAGTGGTATTTTTTTCATTAGGAATGACATCAGTCTTGTCAGGAAGCAAACGCTTCAGCAGCCAGAGAACAGATCTCCTATTCCCTTCTCTACACTAATATGAAGACATATTATCCACATGCTGAGAGGAGACTGGTAGAGACCTGCTCCTGGGACTTCAATTTCCAGCAGAGGAAGGATTCAAGCCTCTGAAAACAGTTTCGTGATATGTGAACTCTCAGCAGAGTAACTGTTTGGCTTGCTGAAATTTCTGCTCTTTTCCTGAAAGGGTGATTATCATATCAAACTGAGTGATAAAAATGTGGTGCAACAATCTGGGAACAGGAGGGACCTAGTTTATCGCTTCATTATTCTTCTGGACACTCATGAAAAGAGCTCTTTTCACATCTCTCTTCTCTATATTCCCACCACCCAGCCCCAATCCTTCTAAACAATGTTATTATTTCAAGATAGCCATGCACTTGTTCTCTCTCTCAACTGAGACGAGCCTTGTTTAGAACTTTTACAATAGCCTTTTCTAGCTCACTCATCACAAACAACCTCATTCAACAGTAATTTTTAAAAAAGAATGAAAAATAAATGTGAAGAAAAGTTTACGCACTTGTTTTACCTGTATGAGTCCTGGTGTGGGTCTTCAGATGGTCGGACCGGGAGAACTTTCGCTGACAAGTTTTACACTGGAATGGTTTCACACCTAAACGGACAGAGAAGGTCTCGCCGCAGCCCTAACAACTCAGGGAAAAAGCAAGGCCCACCAGGCCTGCTTGTTGGTGGCTCGAGAGATGGGCATTTCCAGTCAGGTCTGCGACATCTGCTTCTCCCCCAGATTTTCCCAGTACCCCAGATCAGCACATACCACCTGGCCCTACAAGGCTCCCTTGAAGACCTGCTTCAGTCTCGGGAACAATGATTCCTAAGCCACAAATGGCCAGGTTCTCACCAACATCTCAGTTGAGTCTCAGACTGAAAAATGGAATCCCAGACTACAAATCGGATTTGCTCTCCACCACCCCTGTTCCTTACTAATGCCTGGTGTTTCAGGAGCAAATTGCTAGTTGGATCTCACCGCTCTGTGGTTTGTAGAAGAAATGTAAGCTGTTTTCACTGCCCTCCCTCTTTTGGAAGAGAACAAATTGGGAGGAGGGGGTATTAATGAAAAAAGAAAAGAAAAGCAAAGAAACAAATGGCTGACACGCTCACATCCATATTCAACAACAGGAGCATCCAAAACTCAAGTGGAACCCCCAGGAGCATACTGCCGGCAAGGAGAAGTGAGCCCACAAACCTGTGTGTCTCCTTTGGTGTCTTTTAAGCTGGTCTGAACGAGAAAACCTTCGCTCACAGTCCTTGAAGTCACACTGGTATGGCTTCTCACCTTGGGGAAGACACATATTCCATTTGAAAATGATACTGGAAGTGGGGATCTCATTCACGGAAACCTCCCCTACAGGGACCGAAAGGGTCCCCAAAGGCTGCAACACCTTGATGGAGCTTGCTGGGTGTTGTGGCCATTGTAGTTGAAGCCAAAGACACACCTGTACATAGGCTTGTGGACAGTGGGCAGATAACGAGGGCCTGAGCCAATGAGGATGGTTCCTAAATTCTGCCATCTGACACCGGCATCACGTCCAACCCTACTGCTTAAAATTCGAGGTGAGGGACACTCCATTACTATGAAATGGGACGGATAATTGGACAACATCAGAAGATTTAGGACAGTATTAAACCTGACTGTCCACATCAAGGGCTTGCTCATCCCAATGCCTTAATAAAATAAATAAAATACTGGTAGAGGATATTTACACAAATAATAAGCCAAAGAAGTCTTAATGCGTAGGCTGAGTTGGAAGTGGAATTCTGGCATGGCTGTGGCTTGGAGCCAACCCCATGAAATAAGTGTGTTGTGTTTTGTGATTTAAAGATTTGGTGTTCTCTGCTATGAACTTCTCACATTCCTGAGTCAAGCACAAACAGCTCCATGTTTATGAGCTGCGTAGATGAAACCGGAAGTCAAAGCATTTAAGAACTTTTCAGTCTCCCTTTATCCAAAAGAAGTTTTAGCATTGGGATTCCACAACCTCCTTCCTCCCCTTGGAAAGCCCCACCCCTGTCCTTATTCAAGAAAGTTCAGCCAAATGCTGAGAACTCAGCTCCATGACTACACTGGGGCCTTCCCTCCTTATGATGAGAATTCTGAGTCATGGCATTCTGGGATAGAGAGCAAGTCAGCTCTTTCTAAGGCAACGCAGTCCCTAGTTACTTCTGTAAACTCACAACTTCCTCTGTCTCCCTAGTTAATCTAGATTACTGCTATACTAAAACAGACCATTCCCGAAATGTGCCTTGCTTTCGGCTCCCACCAAATGCCCTTTGTCCTTATGTTCACATTCTTACCCGTCAAAAAGTCTACTGTACATCCTTCACAAATGACACTTCTTCTGTGAAGTCTTCTTGGAAATTTTATGCTCAATTTAAAGCCCTTCCTCCACTCAATACAGAGTTTATTGCAGAACCTCTAATATGAGGGACCACCAGGTCTGCCTTCTTCCATGATCTGGAAAACCGTGAAGGCGGGGGCCTTTCCTGAACTTTCTATTTCTACCTGGCCCAGGCAGAAACACCCCTAATGCTTCAATACCCCTATTGGGTTTAATTACTTTTCCCTGTGTTCTGCTTCTCTTCTACACCCTCTGCCCAATCGTGCCAATCTTTTGATGGTTAACCCAAAGCCATACCTCTTCCAAGAAGCCTCCCAGCATAATAGCAATTCAATACTCTACACTGCTCTTCTTGGGTCTCCAACCTCCGATCTTAGCTCTTTTTTCTTTTGTGTGTATCAAAACAGACCAAAAACTCTTGAAGAGGGGGGTCTATGACTTGGAGTTGAAAGACCTGAAATTGAGTCCTGCTTCTATTGCACCCGACTTATCCGATAACCATTTTGTGTGTGGGGACTAAATAATATAGTGCTTATAATAGGGAATATGACACATAGGGTATTAAATTACTGAAGTATTTAATGTAATAGTCTAAGTAAGGAAAAATGACATTCTTTCAAGAAGGTAGTTATAGGGCCCTCCTTGGTGGTGCAAGGATTGTCAAAATGCAGCACTATGAAGCTATCTGCAGTTAGATCCTGGCCCTGGAGGTGTCCATGTGGTGCCACAGACCTCTCCTGTCTTGCCCACTGCTCCCCTCAATATATTTCAGCCAAACTACCTATTCTGTTCCCCACTCTGTCTCTGGTGAATCCTCTATGCCCTGCCACTATGGCCTGTACCCCAGTTCTTTTATGCATAAATAAACCTTTAAAAAAAAGAGAAAAAGAAGGCAGTTACAGGATTGTAAATACCAGCCTGTACTCCTCATTTTCTTTTCAGGAAAACTCCTGTGGAGCGGGGGTCTTGGCTAGCTGGCCCAAGGTCGTCCTTTCACACAGACATCTTGCTATCTCTGCTTTCTAATTGCCTCTTTCAATTAAAAGTTCATATTTCCTTCACGGTATTCCCTGGCATCCTTCCCGACACAACTAGCCTATCTCCCTTAGAATTTCAACAGATAATTTTGAAGGTATCCCACTTGGGCAAATATGCAAAAATGCACCATGCTACTACCTCTCTCATCTTTAGCCCTAAAGCCTGTGGTCTCCTCATCACAAACTCAGGTCTAAGCCAGAATGCAGCCTGTAGACACAATGACTAGAAAGCCTAAGGGTCTAAGAGATCTGGTATCTGCTTTGGTTTCCCCAAAACAAAGTCAAGAGAAACAATAAATAGTAGCATCCCAACAGTGATGTTAATCTTCTTGGTAGAGAGAATGGCACCAGCATCCCCATAGGAAAGCCTGCTTCCCACCCCCAGCTCATACCACAGGGTCAAAAAAAGGCAAAAGGGCTGTTAACATTCACAATGATCAACAGAAAGACAAGGCCCATCTCTCTTTTCAAGGGTAGACCCCTTAACTTTTTGGAAAACAGTTTTTGCTTTTTTTTTTTTTTTTTTTTGACACATCACTAAAAATCAACTCTTTTCTCCTCTGAAAACAAAAATTAAATCTACACTTCATTTTCCATGGTTGGTTACCTGTCCTCAGTGGTGTGCGCCAGCCCTGGCCTGGAGCTCTGGAACCACCACTGCCCAGAGGCCACCAGCCTCGAGGCTGGACAGGGGATCACTTACCAGTATGCTTCCGGCTGTGCATCTGTAAGTGGGACAGCTTAAAATATCTCTTATTGCAGCCCGGGTAAGCACACATGAAGGGCCGCTTCTCGCTGGTCTCAGATGCTGACCGGACAAGAGTCGGGGCCACACCTGGCACGCGCCGCACATCCTGTAAGCAGAGAAAGGAGAAATGTGGGCTTTTTGCCACATCAGTCCTGGGGACCGTGAATGTTGGGATATATCCCAAGGAGGGATGGCGGGCACAGGCCTAAAACCAGGCTCCTCCACACGGAAGCCCATGGCAGACGAGGATCAGGTGATGGGCGGGGGCCATTTACAACACAGTGCTCTGACGGCATCACTACTGACACACCAGAACCAGTACTTGTGAGAAGTCCCTTTGGGGTCGCTGCCCCAGAGAATGTAGAAGAGAAATGTCAGTGTCCGTCTCTCGGCAGTGAGGTGTGGTAGTTCCAAAGTCCTGGATTCTATTCCGTTCCCTCCCACTTAAGAGACATGGCCTAAAGGACTGGGGGCTACTCTGAAATAGGTGGGGGCAAGTCCCTCCTTTTTTTTTTAAGATTTATTTATTTGTGCATACAGAACTGGGGTACAGGCCAGAGGTGCGGGGGAGGGGGGGCGGGTTGAGAGGATTCACCAGAGACAGAGTGGGAAGCAGAACAGGCAGACCCACAAAATACACTCTGAGGGGAGAAGTGGGCGGGTCAGGAGAGGTCTGCCACCCCATGTGGTCACCTCCCAGGCAGGCGATCGAACTTGTACTGAGCGGCTGCAGCTGGCTTCACAGCTCTACACTTTAACCGGCTGCACCAACAGGGAGGGCAAAGGAGCTAGTGCTTTCTAGAGAAAACATCAAGATACTAATGAGCCCCAAACTGACCACACTGTCCATGTGTGAGTAAATGAGAAGAAAGGGTCTGATACTTGGGGGTTCTATAAATGAAGGATGCTAGAAAGACCCATGACATGGCCAATGTCATCTTAAATAACACCAGAAAACACTGCTTTTATTTCTGCACACTATGTCCATTACACAGAATGCTGTGGGTCCACCTCCCTTCATATTAGGAAGTGACCGTGTATGGCCAGTCAGTCCTCCACACCAATGGGCTAATGGAAAATAGTGAGACAAACCGCCCTTCCTGCCCTCAGGATTGATGAGTCAGGTGGGAGCAGTGGACGTGCCCAACGGGCCACTGAACCCCCTTTCTCTTGCAGACGTGTCAGTCAAGGCCAAACACACATCTGTGTTTTGTGGGGAGAACCGAACACCTCTTGTGTGCTTCACCCGCTGCCCACACCATCCCTGTGCTTCTGTGCCAGCTCCTATCTCACACCACCCCGCACTGGAAGATGTTTCTTGAAGAAAAAGTGCTACAGCGGCATACAACTCTACTGTTCATGGGTATAGTGTCTTGAGGCAAAAGGTGGCAAACATTTCATCAGTGAGCCAGTCCTGTCTGGACCCCCCCACAAGAAATGAGTGTGAGTAGGTAGGAAAAACCCCACTGGGTGTGGAATTCACCAGGCCATCATGGCGAATCTGACAAACTAGATTTAGGGAAAGGAAGGCAAAGGGAGCTTTTTCATTCTCTTGAATCCACGCTAGACTCCAAGCACAACACAACAATGTATGGAGCCAGCCTTGGATGTCAGTCAGTATTCTGGTGGTAGTTTTTGACGGGATTCACTGGAGGACTGACTGGATAACTGTCCACACTCCACCAGATCACTGTCTCTCTGTAATCTTCATCTTCCTTTCCCACCATTAGAAGGTTTGGGCTGAAGGAACACTGTGTTCTAGCCCCATGAAGTTTCTGGAAATATTAATCAGAATATCTCACAACTACTTGGCTCACACAAACCATCGGGGCCTGACTCACATTCAATTTGTTTCTAGAGTACTGACTGTTTTGGTGAAAGTATCACAGCTGTTACTTATGCTGCAGCCACAAAGTCCCATACCAACGCTAGCAAAGCAACCCCCTGGAAGTGGCAGGGTTTCTGGCCACTCAAAAGAGTCTCTGTGCAAAGGTGGCCTGATTCTCCCAAGGGTTTGCCTCTTTGTTTTACTTTCTTCACTCTTCCTGGAAACTGCCCCCTCCCTCCCCAAACTTCATAGCCTTAAGTAGTGGTATAACTGCGTTAAGGTGGTCATTAAAAAACAGGTTCCAGGCCCTCGCTGGAGGCGCAGCGGGTTAAAGCACAGCACAAAGAAGCTTAAACAACCTCCGCATGAGTTCGATTCCCACCTGCCCCGGAGGTGACCACGTGGCGTGGCAGACCTCTCCTGACCCGCCCGCTGCTCCCTTCAGCAGTGTACTTCGTCGATCTGCCTGTTCTGCACCCCACTCTGTCTCTGGTGAGTCCTCTCACCCTCCGCATCTCTGACCTGTACCCCAGTTCTGTACAAACAAATAAATAAATCTTTAAAAAAAAAAAAAAACAGGTTCCAGAGATAGAGTAGAGACCATTTATTATATCTCCACTCCACTCTTAGTAGCTGTGTGATTTCAGGTGAATCACTCACCTTCTCTGGGCGTGAGTTTCCTCCATAAACTATATAGACGATAATAGTACATACCTCAGAGAGGCAAAATGAGGGTTGAATGGGGAGGGAGGGGGAAGGGAGAGGAGGAAGAGAAAATAGAGACATGGAAAAAGTTTAAATGCATGTTGCTAAGTGATAGAAGTCAGGCAGCAGAGGCTATATCCTAATGACTCCAACTATATGACGTTCTGGAAGGAGACCAAACCATGGAGACATCTGTGGTCATTGAGGGGAAGGGGAAGAAAAGCACAGGGCATTTTTAGATAATGAAACTATTGGGTATGACAGGTAGATACAAAATGTACACGACTGCATAACAGGAAAAATAAATCCTAATAAAAGCTACGGGCTTTAATTACGATGATGAAGAGGTGCTGTGCATCAATCCTAACAAATGTAGCACACTGACAAGATGTAGCTGCAAGGGAGGCCAGTAGAGGAGGGGCGTGAGGGAGACTTCGGGGACTCTGTACCTTTACTGTGATTGTCCTGGGGTGCGAGGGAGACTTCGGGGACTCTGTACCTTTACTGTGATTGTTCTGTAAACTTAGAACTGCTCTGAAAACATTGAGTGTATTTTTTAAACTCCCTTAATAAACTTAGCACAGCATTTGGCATACAGAATGTGTCCAGTCATAGCTGGTACTGGCATTACTACTACGCTTAGCAACATTCAGCAAGTAAGAATCCACCTTTGAGCACTTTACAATGCAGACTGAGTCGTCTTAGAAATCAGGGATTAACTGGAGCCCAAAGAACCCCAAAACAACTGCTGCAAGGCCACCCTGAATTCAGCGAGAATTCAGCAGCAAAGGAAGAAAAGATGGATTCTATACCAAGCAGCTTGGTCTAAATCAGGACGATGGCCTCTGGAGAATAAAGACTTGGAAAAAGTTTCAATGCATGTTGCTAAGTGAAGGAAGTCAGCCAGCCTACCTGCCTCAGAGGAAGGGGAGGAAGTGAAGCTGTCAAACAAGCCCACAGGCAGGGACAGATGCGTGGGGCCAGACGCCATCAGCAAGGAGCTGAAAGGCCGTTGAGAAGGGAAAGCGGCAGTGAAGTCTGCTTCCCGCCGGTCCTGCGTACTCACCTGGATGCCCCTGAAGACGCCATGGGTGTGTATTCTGTACTGGGCACCGCAGAGGATGGGTGTTGTATGGTTATCGCTCTCGTACCCCGTGCCGTGGCTGCAAACACAAGGGGGCACAGGTTCAGCTTGGCTCACTGGTGCCATTTGGAAATGCACGTTTGCAGCAGAAGCCATGTTTTTTAAAAGCTCACAAGACAAGCCAATAGTTGTTTCTTTCCCCACTGGGGTGACTCAAAGTAGGGATCTGGGAAGGAGGGGGCTCCTCCATCCCTAGTTCACCTCCCTGCACGCAGCTCTCCCTCATACTCAGGTTGTCTCAGGCACCCCTGGGTCTCTGCCTCTCCCGGAGGAGCAGCAAAGGCAGCCTGGCAGGGATGTCTGCCCCAGCCAAGTCGTTTACGTCTCTGCAGCCGGGCTGACAGCTGCAAACGTCTCAGGAATGAGCAGATGCCTCAAGTTTCACATTAAGTGCACAGGAGTTTTGTCAGCACCTCATGACTCCGTTTTTATCAGATAGCACCAAGGAAGTGATGACACTTACAAGGAGAGATGTCACAGCCTCAGAAGTGGGGATTACACATCTGCAGTCCTTTCCCGCTTAGCCTACCTGCCACTTTCCCAGATGAACTTAACTCTTTGCAGCCAACCCTGCCTCTGCGTGGACGCGGTAATCCCCCGCTACACACTGGCTAATACTCCAGCAGGTGCGTAAGTCAAGCTTGCATGATGTGTGCGAGCTGAGGGTTATGGGATGCTGGAAAGAAGACCCTGGAGGGGGTGAATGTTCTCCTCTGCAATACACTGTTCTTCAGGTAAAAAAAATCTCATCTCTGTTCTGCAGTGACTCAGCCTCCAAATGAGGCAGAGTGAGGATTCTTACCCACAGAGGCAGCATATTATAATCTCATCTACACCCACCACAGGGTCATGTAGGAAATGTCTCCGTTAGATGACACAGCTGCCTCGGAACGTGTAGCAGCTCAAGAGGTTAGATGTAAAGTTGCCACATGACCTGAAATTCCATTTCTAGAGCCGACCCCAGTGCTTTGTAAGCCTCCAGGTGCAAATGAAGGGGCTGTCAGGGCTGAGAAGTTCCAGCCTCTCTTCTCTGCTACTCTAGATTCCAGGGGAGCAAGAGGCAGGCAGCTTGGCTCAGCAACCCACTTCATCTGAAGCTGTGGGAAGAGCCTGGGGCCAGCTCAACTCTCATCACCCAAGGGAAATAATTCCTGGAAGGGAAGAAAGTCTGCCAGGACCACTAAAATGTCCACGTACCCTGGGGTCACAGCAGCTGTGGGGTTTCATATTTAGTTCTGGCTCCGGGTTCTTAAAAACAGAATCACCTGTCTCCTTTGTACAGATCAATCAAAGCAATTTGGGGCGATGGGTGGAAGTTCTGCTCCCCCTAAGCTATGACAACCTGTCTCCACATCCTTGAAGTGATCGCTGACATATCTGGGATGGGGGTGGGGTGGCACCATACAGCTAAACCAGAGTCAAACATGCAAAAATTGTGAAGAAACAGTAAATCCAGAGAGCATCTGCCCCACCAAACCTTAGATTGCACTTGCCCAGAAAAGGAGGTTGTGTCTGCTTTCCTTGTAATTACATAGACAGTGGGGAAGTGAGAGTTGATGACTATGGTGATGGGGGACGGAGGCCAGAACAAGAGCACCCTTGCCAGAAAAGTTTGCTCAAAAGCTGTGGAGAGAGGCTACCTTTGCTTGGTGTTACCTTCTGCGTGCAGCCAAAATCTGATTTACACATTTTCCAGAGCTGAAGGAATTTTAGGGACATGACAGAAATCGGAATTACTTATAATTTATCAAAGAGGAAAAATTAAGGGTCTCCATTTTGGCAGCTAAGTTCTAGATGTTATTTGGCTTTTCTAGGGACACTGGTCCCAGAAAATGAAGTGTTTTGCCCCTCAAAGAGAGTGGAATGATCTTCACAGTACGATACAAGCCAATAAACGAAAACAGAGGCCAAATATGCCACTAGATTGTTCTAGCATTTCATGAATAAGAAAGATTGCTGGGCCTCTGCCTGGTGGTTCTTGTATCTGCATAAGACAAGCACCCAAATGGAATTCCACCCTAAAAATGTACAGACCAACTGCCCATAACAGCATTTAATAAAGTGACTCACTTAGTAAAAGTAAAAGGAGGCAAGTTGTTAGTATTGACTTTATTCCTAGTAGAGGAGAAAAAATCCTCTACTGGGACTCCCATTCAGAGTTCCTCTAACACATCCTTAATAAGTGGACAGTATGACTAGTGGCTAGCTGTAAAGGCAGCCCTAACCCATTTAAGGAGACCTTTAATTGTTAGGAAAGGTCTTTCTAGAGCCCCTCTTGATGGCGCAAAGCATTAAAGTGCAGCAGTATGAAGCTGTCCACAGCCACTGCAGTGCAAGTTCAATCCCCAGCCAGGGAGGTGACCCACATGGCGCGGCAGACCTCTCCTGCCTTGTCTGATGCTCCCCTCAGCAGTGTATTTCTGCCTGTTGTTCTCCCCACTCTGCTCTGATGAATCATCTCATTCCCTGTACCTCTGGCCGGCACCCCAGTTCTGGTATGCATACATAAATAAATCTTAAAAAAAAAAAAAAAAGGAAAGGTCTTTCTAAATGGAGTTGACATGTGCCTTCTCACTGTGTCTTCTGGAGAACCAGAGAATATTACGATTCTATAACAATCACTGTCCACCTCCTCTGTGTGTGGTAAACCTGACCTTGAGAACAGAGACCAACTTGCTCCTCCTGTATTGACCATCTCAACTTATTGACTGACATAGGTGCGTCGTCCATGAACATTCCCAGAGTGGACTAAATCAAGTTCCTCTTCCATGTAACACTTCTCCAAGCAGCCCTCCAGGCTACAGAGCTGTGGCTATCTCAGCTACTCTACTTCAATGTGAGCTAGCATCTGATTCTTGGCACTATCCGTGCATGAGATTCTTGAACCTTTTTAAGCCCCTATCAAAAAGTAGGCGTGGGATGAGCCCAGAGAGTGTTTCCGTAAGGAAAGAGAGAGTGAGGACCACCTAAAAGCACCTAAGTATTTAAAACCAAGGAAGTAACATAAATTTGTGAGACCAGGGAGCCCATGCTTCATACAAGGGATGCCATTGCTAATTGCAAAATCTGTGCTAGTCAGATACAATACAGGGCCTGAAGCCCACAGGCTGTCAGAGCCAGAGCCTGGAAAGAAGATCCAAAGCTTCCCCTCTCCATCTGAACAGGTAAATACAAGTAACACTCCTAAGAATACATCATGCTTAGCACTGGGACCACAGTGCTCTGCCTCACTGAAATAAAATCTCTCACATACAGCCCCCAACTATACGAACTGCAATTAAGGCATTACCTCAACCTTGAGCTTGAAGACCTGATTTTTTACAGCTGTAGTTCAGTATTACGTGTACATCTTTCAAATTCCATTCTAGTTCTATCAACAAGTCATTCCAACTGTTGCAATCTCTCTTGACTCTTGATTTGGCTTCTAATAACATTTGCTTCCCTTCCTATCTCTTGTTATCTCTTCATTTGAAAAGCACCTTTTCACTGTATTCATAACAGGAAGGATCCTCCTTCTGTTGTTGGAATTATTATAGCCACAATGTATGTGATTGTTCCCTGGTATCAGGAAATGGCAGCCTTCTAGAAGGTCTCCACGGTCAACCTGAGGGAAGCCATCAGAAAATCAGTCATTTGAATGCGATTCAATCCCACAGAGCTTGTCATCAGCAGGAGTTAATCTGAGACAGAAAGGCCCCGGAAGAGGGTGGCTGCCATTGGACAAGAGCCATTGTTAAAACCCTGTTGCTAGTTTAGATGGCCAAGGAAAACCAAATTTACCCGAGAGAGACCAGCCTTAAAATCTCCCAGAGACCACACGGTAGATAAACCAAACAGGAATGAAGGTGGGGTTCTTGGAGATCTAGAGCCAAAAAAGATTTTTCTAAAGAGCCAGGGGGCATATCCTCTTCCAGGATTATACTCAGTGCAGTAAGCCAGAATGGTCTCACTTATAGGATGAGTGAAGAGGAACCAAATAAAGAAACAGGAAAAAAATGTATAATAAAGTAAAATGAAAATCATCAGGCAACTATAGACCAGAGACATTCCTTAGGGGAGGAAGAGGGAGGCCCAGGCCAGGGGTGGGAAGAGCACAAGGGACCATGATGATGGTGCCCGGGGAGCTGGGGATGGAAATTTCACGGGGAATCATACATTGCACAAAATTAAGGATGATGTAAAATATATTTTTAAAAAGAGACAAACGATGCGCCTTCCAAATAGAGGAATCACAGAACCGTGAAGTGAATCACCAGCTTGATAAAGTTTCTCAACACAGCTCTTGCTGTTTTGTTTCTCAACTAGGCACAAATCATTTATTTAATTATTTAGCACATAATTCCTTATATTGTCTGCAAGGGTATCAAACACAGATATTAGATGTCTTTTTGCAATAAAGCTCCACTATAGTAATGACCTTCCACCATGAACCTAGTAATTCTACCACAAAAACAAAGAGACCTATGGTTAGCATGCCTTGCTTCCTAGTGAGCTCCAACTTTCTTCCTTATGTGCTCTCAAAGATCAATTTAATAACTTTCCTAAGAATCACGTTAACCTCACTGTTTTGGGATATCCAGAAACCACTGTTTCTTTTTTTTCTACTTGAAAACTAAGACTAATATCTTTTGTTACCTGTCTTATCGTGAATTTACAGGTTACTGGTAAAAAGGAACTATTTCATCTTTGCCAACTGGTCAGAATATGGATTTTGTTGTTTTTCTTTAAGCACAGCCACAAATTCAGATATACCTGCAGGGGCCAAGTATGTGAGATTAAACAAAGAAGGCCTTGGAGAGCAAGATGGTATTGAATCTACAAAGTGTCACCTCATCCCTGCTCAAAGGAGGTGGCCAGGAGTCAGCACGCCCTGCCAACTACTGTTAGTAAATGAACCCAGAGTTGTCAGAGCTTTCAATTTCAAAAAAGAAGCTCAAGAAATCCAGACTTCAAAGTGAGATCGCCTGAATTTTAAATTCTGGTAAATAACTGAAATTTTATAGAATCATTTTCAGGTCA